AGTCTCGCTTCACTGCATTTAATTTTATTTAGTACAAAGCCACGTATAGCGAAACAGACACAGACATAAACGATAGTTTAACCTAGCAAAGCCACCACATAGCTACTCTTACAAACTATTACTAGGAATAATTTGTGTCATCTAAGGTGAATCAAAATAGTCATTTATTCTGGCGTTTGAGTATACCACATGTATAGACATTATCCTTATTATGTGTCCTAATATTTTTGCTTTATGAATGCATTAAAACCATCCATCCATTGTCCAACTCGCTTATCCTACTGGGTCGCGGGGGGTCCGGAGCCTATCCCGGAAGCAACGGGCACGAGGCAGGGAACAACCCTGGATGGGGGGCCAGCCCATCACAGGGCACACTCACACACCATTCACTCACACATGCACACCTAAGGGCAATTTAGCAACGCCAATTAGCCTCAGCATGTCTTTGGATTGTGGGGGGAAACCGGAGTACCCGGAGGAAACCCCACGATGACACGGGGAGAACATGCAAACTAATAAAAAAAAATTCGTTAATCATCACATGGAACACTAATCCATTTACCTATATAAACAATTTTATTTTATATCCAGCCTGATATATATTTTTGTATTATGGAAAAAAAAATCATGACTTTGAAAGTAACTCTAAAAACAGGCAGTATTTTTGATATTTTTGATCAAAGCTCAGAAAAATAATCTTTATACGAGAAGGCATACGAAAAATACATAAACGTTGCGAGTATGCAAGTCTATACGTTGAGTTAGAGAATAACAGACTCGCTAAGAGGAATGTCGAAAGGAAGATTGCATTGGAGGCTAACGATGACATTAAAAAGTTTCTTCCAATATTTTAACTCCAAAAGAGCTCTAAAAGCTGAAATCACTAATCTACAGGATAGTAAGGGTCTTATAATTGAAAATGAAATTGATATACAGTAGTAAATGAGTTTAATGATTGTTTTACATGGGTGTTAACTGTAGGACAGAAGTAGTTTACTACGTCTTATTATTAATCCAGCGTCGTCTATGACCAATACATGCATAACTGAGGCTGATGTGGTACAAAGCCTAGCTAAGCTCAAAATAAATAAATCGCAGGGCCCTGATGGCATCTTACCTATAGTTTAAAAAGAGATGAGGGATATTATTAGCCGACCTTTAACCTTAATATTTCAGAAATTCTTATCTGGTGGTGTGGTACCTTCTGATTGGAAGCATGCTAATATAACACCCATATTCAAAAAGGGGGATAGAAGTACAGTCAGGCGTCATGCATTCGCGTTTCCTGATTCGCAAATTCACAGATCCGTGAAAGTTTCATTCTACTGTTTTTCGTTAAATATTTTTAATGTATGTATTTTTGTTCTCTCACTTTTTCGCGGTTAGCGCACACAGTATTTTTACAACTTCTCTGTACGTCTCTACGTAATTTTTAATTGATTGAATACCTGTACCCTGTACGTACATGTTTCCTTTACGTATTTTACTGAATTGTACCTTGGTTACGTATATGACTTTTTTCAATAACTTTACAGTCCCATTCATTTTTACCTTACTGTGAATGCCGTGTTCTATGAATTAGTAGGGGTAACATTAGTATACTGTAAATATGCTAGTGTGACAAATATCTGTTATGCTATACTGTACTGTACTTTAACATCAAACATTTGTTTTAAAGGTAATGTATAAAGATAACATTTAAATGAAATTAAAGTATTTTGGGAGCACAACTGGGGTCATATTTAATGTTTAAACTATAGAAAAAAAGCACATATTACCATTGTTAGTGACTCTACCAAACATACATGACTCCTCATTCACGATGGGTTCTGGAACCTAACCTTGCGAATGTCCGAGGTCTGACTGTAATCCAGCAAACTATAGGCCAATTAGTTTAATTTGCATAATTGGAAAAATAATGGAAACTATAATCCAAGTGAAAATGGAAGATTACCTGGATTCAAATAACATTCTGAGGGATAGCCAACATGGATTTAGGAGAGGTAGGTCCTGTTTAACGAATCTACTTGAGTTCTGAGGAAGCTACAAGAGAAATTGATCACAAAAAGGCCTACGATGTGATGTACTTAGATTTCCAGAAAGCCTTTGATGTTGTCCCCCACAAACGGCTCTTGCTTAAGCTCAAATTCCTTAGTCAGACCCTACCTACAATATTGTATGCAGGTTTGGTCACCATACCTTAAAAAGGACATTGCTGCCTTGGAAAGGGTTCAACGTACGGCTACAAGAATGATTCCTGGTCTTAGAGGAATGTCTTATGAGGAGAGATTGCTCAAGGTTGAACAGATTTAGCTCAGCTAAAGGAGAATAAGGGGGGACATGATCCAGGTAATAAGGGTGTTTTCACATATAGTCCTCTTTAAAAGAACCAAACTCAGACCTCTAGATGTGGTCCCAAAAGTGGACCAACAGAAAGGGAACTCAGTTGTTTGTGTTCACATTGCGAGTTCATTTGAAAGGGGACTCAGTTCTCTTTCTGGTTTACGTCAGCTCAGAAGGGGCCTCAGTCCTTTTTCTGTTCATACTTCAAGTTCTTATGGAGCTCTCAGACCTTTACTGCTTTGGATTCTGGGTAGTTTTCACTTCAAGCAAGATGGCCTTTGCATTCCTGTGTGTTGTAGATTGTTGACATTTTAGGTAATTTTCTTCATTCCAAATGTCAAGAAGAGCCATAGTCTCCTCCTCTGACCAAACTATTCCGCATCCCACACTTGCAGCCATTATTTTTGCTTGTTTCCCGGGACTGTACCACGTGATCTGCTTATGGCAAAGCTAAAGGGTAAAAATTGTCGAAGCAAGCCAGGACTGCTTTGTGTTCATAATACACAAGTTAAACGAACCGTGACGTGGACTATAATCGAACCGGACTGAGACTACCTCCCGATGTGGTCTCAGTTTGGTTAGTTTCAAAGGGGTCCGAGTTCATTTGGCATGTTCACATATATGCAAAAAATGCTGACTAATCGATCTGAGTTCGCTTTAAACGGACTAAACGTTGAAACGGACTAAAGTGTGAAAACACCCTAAGATTCTAACAGGTCTGGATGCTGTTCAACCAAATAGTTGCTTCAATATTAATTTAAATACTAGAACTTGTCATAGGTGGAAATTAGCAGGAGAACATTTTAAAATGGATATGAGAAAGCACTACATTACACAGCGTGTAGTTAGAGTATGGAATAGGCTTCCTGTTACTGTAGTGCAAGCTGAAATCTTGGGTTCCTTTCAATCAGTGCTAGAAAAATAGTTGAATTCTTCCCAAACTAGCTTGATGGCCCGAATGGCCTACTCCCGTTCCTTATGTTCTTAACATGGCCTGTTTACATCAAATGTGGTGGTTCTCAACCCAGTTCTCGGGGGACGCTGCACAGTCTATATTTGCGTTGCATCGCAGTTCCCCCATACACCTATATTGTTTTTAGAGTATTAAGGGTTATTGGTCGCTACAGCTGTAGAAAGACCTAAAACTAAAACAAGAACATTACCCAGCCTGGAAACCTCCAAAACCCAACTTAAAAATAGTTATTCTTTATTTTCACCAACATAGGAAGCCCCACCGTAAGGCAGGGCATCAAAAAATTAGATTATACTCATAATGTTCCTCTCCACGGAAATCTTTAGTAAAAGGCGAAAGATTTATACGATATGAAAAGAAACCAGAGTTTACTGAAGAGGATCGGGGAGCAGACGCGACCACTCTCACTGCGCTGACATTCGCGATTATGGCAATACAAATCATGCCACAGTATGAAGTTTACGTTGGCACTGACAGAGGCACAGTCCATTAAAAAAAGGTTAAAAACCTGGAGTCCAATAAAAACCAACATTTTTGCTACATCGTTTCTAATAAAATACTTAAGGGAAGACGCAAGCTGTAGAAGTGCTGTCGGGAGATTCCTGCACGTCACAATTTAAACCACGCCCTTCTTTACACAGCGTGTAGTTAGAGCAGGGGTGTTAAACTCCAGTGCTGGAGGGCCGGAGCCCTGTACGGTTTTTGGTTTACTCATTTAACACACCTGATTCAACTCCTTGTGCTAATTACCACAGAGCTCATAAGCTAAATCATTTGTGATGAAACAGGGAAAGAGCTACGCTACAATGGGCTCAGGCCCCCCAGGACTGAAGTTTGACACCCCGGAGTTAGAGTATGGAATAGTCTTCATGTTAGTTGTGGCGCAAGCTGAAACCTTGGGTTCCTTTAAATCAGAGCTAGATAAGATTTTAACAACTCTGAGCTATTAGTTGAATTCTCCCCAAAACGAGCTTGATGGGCCGTAATGGCATCCTCTCGTTTGTAAGTTTATGTTCTTAACACAGCCGGTTTACATGTTCCCAGACTGCCATTAAGTAAGGCTCCCAAAAGAGTAGGCCTATCAGCGAGTGTCTAAGCCTAAATTATTAGGAAACAACTATTCACTATCACCCTAGAATGGGTTTAAAATGTTTGCATCACACATTTAACGTGGTAATACTGTATTATATCAATTGTGGCCTAGATCTTCGGCAAAAAAGGGTTGTTTTTGGGAAATGATTAGGTACGCCATGCTGTGCAGGCCTAGTGCTCGATGATGGACACGGGAAATCCTCACTGCAGCAATCAAACGCTATCATTTGGTCTCAGAGCAGCACACGTACGAACAAACAAGAAACGCACTTCCTCACCTATCACCACTGCGCTTTCCCAGTAACGTTCTGAAAACAACTCCAAGACGATTACGTACATTTTCCATTTCCGTCGCTTAAACTATGTCCGGCATGATCACCAAGACATGTTACGGGTACTATTGCGATAATTATAGACTTTGGTTATAGCCTCTTACGCAGCCGTAACTCTCAAACACCGATTTTATTTAATAAGATTCGCACAGGTGGGAGCTGCCTTGCGTGATGGACTCGGACCTACACCCACAAATCTGCCATCTTACAAGTACCGTAGATGAATATAAATAATACATCCAACAAAAGTTGTTTCTTACCTTTTTTGTCCTCTACTCATTCCATATGGGACATGATGTGGCCGCAGGTGTCAGTCACGGACGCCCATGTGCGCAGCGAAGGTCTGCGCTCAGCCCATGGATTCTTCATCAAGCTTCCCTTTCAGCGGAACCGCACGTTGCTGAGTGATCTTTCATCTTTTTTTTTCATTTTACAACATTGCAAAATTGGCTTGTCCAAGTTATCGGACTTGATTTTATGTGATTTTTGAGTAGTACTTTTTAATTGCTAGTGTCATGGAGAACCTTAGTTAGGTAAAAAGAAGAAGCGGGGCAAAAGGGGGCGGTTTGAACGCCGGACCAACTCTAAAATGTGATTTATTTTAATTATTAGAGCAGCTGAAGAGAATGACGCTGCATAACGTAACGAAATGACGTCGGTCGCATTTCCTTATCATTATTTAAGAAATTCCATTACTTAAAGATTTCTTTTCCAACGCTTTAGTGTTTTCAGATACACGGAATTTTTCAGCTGGAAAACTTCATCCCACTCATCCAGTAATGTCCACATTACTTAGCCTAATGCCCCGACCTTATTAGCGAATGAATGACCTGTAAACGTTAGACTTGCAGCCTTTGAGTCATTCGGTTTCTCAGTGTTTTGTTCTGTTTTTCCAAACAGCTTTCATTTGTTCTTGGATTATCTACATTCTGCAGATGACGGTCCATCTCCTCCCACAAGCCCAGCACAGATATAAACGAGCCGTCAGTCGCTGGCAGGACGTGGAGGCCCTCTTTGACGGCGGATTATTTTAATATTTTTCCGCTTCTTAATCATGAACGTGCAGAGTTCTTGAAAATAATCCTGTGTAAGCACTCTTCAATGATAAGCTGGTAAAGGCAGAACACCGTGGATGCGGCCATATATCGTAACATTAATTTATATTAGCGTTTAGATTATTACATCCAATGGCCGTGTTATTACAATTATTGTTTTTTTCTAAGAAGTTAGGTGGCATTACCGAGTAAATGAAATAGCCTTCTTGGAATAGACCATATTCCACTTTAAGTGGAAAAGAGAGGGTAGATTATTTTATTTAGATCTATTTTTAATTCTATTTCCGTCACTGGTTAAAGAGATCTGAGCCCAATGGAAACGCATTTGATTGTTTGTTTGGACTACGTGGGCTTTTTCCTTATTACAATACGCAGCGTGGGATCTTTGGACTAGTATTTTAATGATTGAATCGGAAAGGTCTCATGAGGTTAACCTGAAGCACCGTTTCATACATGAAATATCCATTCGTCTTCTATCAGCTTATCCTGGTCGGGGACACTGGGGCACATGAAACAGGAAGTCTTAAACCATTTTTTAAAATCCTCCTTTCTATCCTAAGAAGAAAGGCTGTGATACCCATTTGTGACGCATCCCCTCAGGTTCCTATGGAAACCAAGTTTAATCTGGTACTGATACTTCCCTCACACTCTGCCATGCTGTTTGTTTTCCTTTGTGTGTAGCCATAGCAACCTCACATCTGAGGTCTTTGTTGAACCTGCTCTGTGAATCCTGAGGACAAAGCAGTTTGCTCCTGTAAAGCTGAGGATTTCCAACTTCTCCCACAGTGACATTTATTTAAATTGACACATGCTATGGGATGTGGGATTTAAATGTGACAATGTATCATGGTTCAGAGTTATTACATACAACAGAAAGCCTGCTTAAATACCCAGTGTCAATGTCAATTCATGAGAAAAACACATCAGACTGTGATGAAAGGAAAATACCTCCCTTCTAATGACTGTACTTATTGTGGATTCACATATAAATCATTGGGATTTCAATGAAAATTTATTTGAAAATTAATCTTCATTTTATGTGAAAAATCCTGTATTTGTAGGACGTAGGAAGGACGCCAGCTGCAAAGCTAAAGTAAAGCTAAAGTAAAGCTAAGGTAACAAGCTGCCATAAGGTGGGGCCATCGGTCCAGGAATTACAGTTCCGGCAGCCTTTGTGCTGTTTCACGACAGGAGAGGAAGACGCCACTTGTGAAGTTTACTCCTCGTTTTTTCAAAGGCAATGAAATAATGTATGATTATCATGTTGCGTGCGAATGACATTCATAGTTTGTTTTCATAGAAATTACACGTAGCTTGAATTAATTAGAGAGCTCTGAGTTGAACATAGATACAATTTAAGTTCACATTTCTCATGAAATAATCACAATCTTTGTCCTTGATGTGCATCAAATGGTCATATGCAAGTGTATGACAAAGTGCTTAGTCTTCTCCTCAGTACTTTTCCTGGAAGTGGCATATTTCCTCAGCTTCCCAAAGGAATCTGTCACCTTCTTACCTGCATTTTCATGTCAGAAAGTTAGCACGTCCCTGGGGGAAATACTCAAAACTACAACATGCAGTCCATTTGGACTAAGGACTGGAAAATGGGTGATTTCTGTTTGCATCTGATATAAGCCTGGACATCGTACATTTAAAGAGAACTCGCCCATCATTCTTGTTTTAAGCACTACAAAGGCAGGAAAAAAATACAAATGAATCTCTTGGATCCCAGAAACAGCTATTCTCAATCAGGGAGTTTGTCAAAGTAATTTCCACCCAATAAAGACCTTACCAAGTCAGAAGAATAAAAAATAAATAATCACACAGGTAATGAGGTACAGTATGATTTATTAGCATTAAAATCGTAAGACGGGTGGCACATTGGACAGATTTTATCGCTCAGTATCAAATTGTGGACGTGGACTGGTAAACCTGATGCTGAAAAGCAACGCTTAAAACGTTTTACGTGTCTTCGGATGTCTGCGTAGATATTTTACATCACTGCAAAACACCGGGCAGGGTTAGTTTGTAAAAATATACATTTGCAAAATTTTCCATTTTAAAACTCAGACATTATAAAACACCTGGATCGACCCTGATCGGTTACAGGCATAAACGAACGGCAGTGAAGCAGACTTGGAGACGTCCACTAGGTGAGGAATGTCATTACCACACAGGTTTGTTATTTTAACCGCCGCCCCTAAAACCACAATTTAAAGAGAACTTTACTGGCATCCATGTGATCACACACATACAGAGAACATAAAAACATTTGAGGTTTGTGGAGGCAAGTAATGTATGAAGTCTTTCCTTCTTTCCTCAGTTCAGTCATTACCTTCAAAATATTAAGAAAATATTTTCCTAAATCTGTATAAAACTCCACACAATTTAAGTTTTTAAATCATGAAACATGAAATCATAAAATTTTTGGCAATAGCAATCAAAATGACAACTGCACTTCAGCTTGATGACATGCTTCTGCTCCAATAGTGCAGAAAAACCAAATGTAGACCCGGTGCTAGTTTTAGAGCAGGGTGAGAATGCAATGCCCCCACCGACCAGCTGGTTGGTTGTACTTGGGCAAAAATGCCTGGAATGTCTCATAAATACTGTTCTGTATGTTGGTTTAAAAGTTAAAAAACAGAGGTTTACCGTTCCCTAGCAACCCCACCCTGCAGCATATCCATTAGGGGAGTCAGAGAGGGTGTTGTGGCAGAATTGTCTCTCTGTGGAAGGCTACTATCCCGTTTCAGTCACCAATCTCTTAGCAAGCTCAATCCCCCTCACCAGCTTAACTTATTCACCTTCTGGCCACAAGGGCGGCGCTCACACAGCCTTGACATCCATAGGGCGGCAGTTGTGCGGGTCCTGACGGAGAGCCTTGACGGTCTGCAGCCGCCGGCCGTGTAGTGTGAAGCGGGACCAGGCTAGCAGCTGCAGCAGGGCGCAGGTGATGGGCACCAGGACCAGCAGGTAGAAGCAGCCCTGGCGGAGTGCCACCTTAACCGTGACCTCTGCCCCTGGGCTGGGTGCGGCCCGTACAGCTACGGCGTCCTGCATGGGGTCGCGCTCGAAGATGTCGTAGCCTGGGAGGAAGTTAGGGAGGAAGGCGTACGGCAAGCCGTTTTAGAGAATATCACAAATTAATTTCTAATTAGTTAGAATGCAGATTCTTGATATAAAAAATTCAGTCGTAGCTAGTTAAAACGCCGGTTCTTCATACTGGAAATTCTAATTTTGCAAGTGACATTCAGAACGTTTTCTCATTAATTTCAATGAGCTGGAATTTGACCTAGTTAAAAATGCTGATTTCTGATATCAGGAATTCAAATTGAATCATTGCTAATTACAAACAAATTCCTAGTATCAGAAATTGGATTTTCAACTAGTTAAAATAGAATTTCTGGTATCAATTTTGACTAGTTAAAGTCAAATTTCTGATCTCGGAAAGACATTATAACTAGCTACAACTGAATTTCTGATAAAGAATCTGCACTCTAAGTAGTTAGAACTGAATTAGTGATATCCTCTAGAAATGCATTAGAGCTGAAAGGTCTTTGCCATGAAGATGGGACCAGAACCCACGCCGGCACTGGTCATGACATCCCTCAGGGTAACACAATGCAGGGCCCCACCCTGTGCATTAGGAGCGGTCTTAGCAAAGGCAGAAATCCGAACCGGCTCCCCCCTTTTCCCTTCCGTCTCCATCTTCTGAGCACTGGCATTATGCGAAACTGACTGCGGTCGCAGAATTTAAGCCCTGCGGCTTTTAATTTGGGGAAGAAACACAGCTGGGCTGTCAGACAGCCTGGGGCAGGACTCCCCATGAAAGACGTCTGAGGTTTTATGGGCACAAACCTCTGAACGCGACTGTCAGCTGGGAAGGTGGGGGGCGGGGAATGGACAAAACAATAAAAATAGATTTGGATCCATCGTTTCAGTCTAATTACTACCATCTGCAGGGCTTTTATGATGGATTGAAAGATGACTCTTATACTGCATAGACTCCACCCACAAATGAGGTCTGTGGCTTTAGCTCCGCCCCTTCACACACACTCCACTGACCTGTGTACAAGCAGAGCAGCCAGGTCCCCGCGAGCGGAGCAATAGTCTGGCCCGGTTTGGTGACCAGCGCCACCATTCCAAAGAGCAGCGCCGAGGCGGCCTGCTGCCGTCGGTTCAGGACCAGGTCCTCGTCCACCAGGTCTGTCACCACCAGGTTGAGCAGCTTGCAGGTTCCCTCCGTGAAGACGCGGTTACTGCGGGACAGACCACGGGACAGACCACCCTCTCCTTAGCTTTTGGGACACAGGAGGAGTTCATTACACTCAATGTGCCAGATTCTCCCCCGCCGCCTGTCGGGCACCAACCAGCCTTCAGGCCCCCCTCCCAGTCTGTTTCACATCAGTGTCCCTGTGGGTCACCACCCCCACCCCCGAATATCCCACGCTGAAGCTTGTACTAGGGGGGCTTTGCCAAGTGAGGGGGATTTCTCACAGCAGAGAACATTTTCTTCACCTTTGCGTAAGAAGTGGACTCTATACACTTTTTTAAACATTCTTCTTTCACTGCAAGCGGTCTCTAAGCAGAAACTGCACAAAGCCACTGCGCAGCCCTCATCAAAAGTCTCACTGCATGCAGCACATTTGCGTGTTTGTTTGTTTATTACTGTTTTGCACGTTGTCTTCTGTGTAAAGTCATTTTGGAAGTCTTGGACAACCGCGATTTCGTGTCACACCATGCCCACATATTCTGAATTTACAGTGGTTTGACTGGACCGTACTGCGGTGCCGTACCAGTCCACAGGAGCTCCGAACGCACCACGGAGACGCCCGGCCGGCCAGTGCGGGAGGAGCCGGGCCGGGAGGATGGCGCCTCACCTGGCGATGAAGAGGCACAGCAGGTAGACGTGGTCGGTGCCGGCCAGCAGCATGACGGCGCTCAAGGCCAGCTTGAGGACGAAGAGCCAGCGGATGACGCTGTAGACCCCGAATCGCCGGCATAACGTCAGGAAGTACAGGTTGTTGATGTGGGGGGCGATGTATGAGATCCCTGTCGGCACAGGGGGGTGGAGCGCATCAATCGACCAATCAAAATGTATTTATATAGCACCTTTCAAACAACTGAAATGTACCTCCATAATCAGAGATAATGTAGACAAAAAAAGCCCCCCTCCATTCTCTTTCTTGCGATCTGCACCCTGGTGTGTGTGTGTGTGTGTGTGTGTGTGTGTGTGTGTGTGTGTGTGTGTGTGGACAGTTCAGGGTGTCTCTCATCCCCCAAGGCGGTGCTGTACTGCTGAGCTGGAGAGAAGCCCAGCCCCCTGGTTCCCCCCACCAGGATACAAAATGTCTGAAGCACCTCCATGAAGGCCCAGTTATCTAACCCCGAGGCACCTCCAAGAACCCACAAGAACCCCCCCCCGAAGGAATTCTTACCCAGCAAGAAGGAACTGGTGGAGGCCGAGATCTTGTCTGAAAGAAGGTGCTCCAGGAACAGGGGGAAGAAGTTACTGTTAAAGTGGCAGTGGAACACCTGAAGGGAGGGGCGACGAGAGCAAAAGGTGAGGGAAGGGAGATTCCAAACTAAACACCAGCCTCATCCCACTGGGACAGGCAATTAGACAGCTGCGCCATTTTGTACAGCTTTCTTAAACAACCATAAACAGCTAAAAAATGTTTCTAGGCAACACAGGACAAGGTCTATAGCTTTGGTATAATCATAGTGTCATTTGAGGCTGGAACATGTGACTCAACACCACCCTGATAGCGTCACCATGGCAACACACCTGAACCAGGTTCATGGACACGAACCACAGGAAGTTCCTGTGCCTGGACAGCTGCCTTAGGTACTGGCCCAGGGTGACGGGCTTGTCATGGGCCAGAGGGGCGGCATCCACACACAGCCTGAGTGGGACAGCAGGAACATGCACAGGCCTGTCATTCAAAGCCACGTGGACACACCCCCCCCATGTGACGGGTCATGTGACGAGTCCTACATACTCCTTCAGGGCCTCTGCCTCGCTCCACCGCGGCCGGGCCCCACTCTGGAAGCGGCGTCGGAGCAGGTGGGAGACAACCGTGAAACCCAGCGCCGACATGCCGGCCAGAACCACACAGAAGAGCCGGAAGGGGAACAGGTCCGCCTTGTCCCAGAAGCCATGAGACAGGAAGACTGAGAGTGAGCCCAGGGCGCTGAAGATCGAGCCGTGGAAGTTCAGGCGCGTGCGGTCGGCCGCTGACACGGCCAGGTCAGCCAGCAGCGCGTTGTGGTTCAGGTCCACTGCAGTCAGGAAGCCGTCGTACAGACAGAGGCAGGCAAGGAACTGCAGTGCCGGGGGGGCCCATGCCACCCAGAAGGCCAGGAAGGAGAGCGCAAACAGGGGTCCGCTCCAGGACAGGGCCTGCACCCTCTTCAGAACCACCTCAGGGGAGGTCAGCTGGGTGCCTGACCTGCAGGGGGCAACAGAGAGCAGGGGATGCAGCCCCAGCTTAGGTGTCGATCAGGACCTTGAGGAGCAAACTTCCCAAGAGCGACGGACACCCCTGCACTGCAGCTGGACTCCCCTGTATGCCCACCCCCTGCATATCACCACTCTGCCCCCCCCAGCCTCTACCACATGCTGGAATCTCAGGCGGTCGCCATTCATGCAGTTACTGCCTCTACCGCACGGCGCGTCTATCTACACAGCCGACAGCACGGAAGGCGGCGAGAGCTTACTCCTGCGAGCCGAGGAAGGAGCGGTCACTGAACCAGCCGAAGAGGGGGTCATTCAGGCTGTTCCAGATCAGGAACACAGTCTGGCAAGGAGGGAAGGGGGGGGGGAGCATCTCGTGTTAAAGTGCTGCCATAGGCTCATGGGAGTTTTACTTTTATTTTTAACAAAAAATGAAAAGGCAGAATGAAAAATGATTGGTTATCTTTTTGAACCAATCAGATCTTGGTCAGATGTCAGATCAACCAATCAGATGTCTTGAACCCACCTCCTCTACAATCTGACTGGTTATCTCTCTGAACCAATCATATTTCGTTCTGCCCTCAGTACATTTTTGTGGAAATGTACATGGAACTGGTGAGGGGAGAATGTCACGGTCCTCACCTCTCCCACCCAGAAGGAGATCTTGTCGATCTTGTAGATGGACACGAAAGTCTCCACGTAGTACAGGAGGAACACATTGTGCAGGATGGAGACGAAGAGCGACAGGGAACCGTAGAGCACTGCCGTGGGGACCCCGGGCCAGCTGGGGCCCCCCGTCCGCTCGCCCATGCTCACTGGCCGCCGCTGCCAGGCCCGTTCAGCCGCTCGGCCGAGCCGTAGCCATCCTGGAGATGCTGCCTATGCTGGGTCAGCCCCGGTCCTGCCTCTGTGGGAGAGGAGACACAGAACAGCGAAAGCTAAGAAACAGATACAGTGTCATGCAGCTGTGCCGATTTCACAGAGGACGACGCCCCTCATACCTCAGGAAACAGCTGTGCAGTAGGAACCAAATAATTACTTTGCCTCTTAGAAACATCACTGAAACACTATGCCAGAGGAAAACAACAATACCAGAGGAAACCCAATTAAACAAACTGATGACATCACTTCCTGTTTGAAGAAAGTGATTAAGCATACAAGCACTCAAACTGGGCACATACAGCAAAACAAACAGGAGAGCCGACATCAGCTAAAGTGAATCCCGGGGTAGGAGGAGGCCAGGCCATTTTTTCAGGATCAGCCCCCCCATCTCCATCACAACTGAGCCAGGTCATTAATCGTTAAGCTGAACTTAACCCTAAATCACAGTCCCTGGCAGGGAGGGGGCAGCTCTGAGACATCAGCTTCCAGGATCCTTAACAATTCATTCCCAGTCCTGAATGTTTGAGTAAGTTGACCAGAAATAGGCGGTTTATTTTACACACCCTAGCAGAGTAAACACCTTGGGGAGACAGCCACACACACACACACACACACACACACAGGAGTTTCCATCTCCGGGTACAACGTCACTGGAGCGTAGAATATACATCAGGACTCTCACGGATGTCTATCATGGGAAACGTCTAGAAAAGCTCTCCACACAGTCTTGGTGAATGAGGACAGGCGTGGTCAGTTAGAAGACACAGCCTGCTGACTGCCTGCCCCCAATCCACCCCCCATCCCAGCCCAGCTCACTGTCCAAATAAAAACCTCCAGGTCTATTCATGGTGGCACCTGGACAGTGACATTTGGCCCATTATCAGGCACCGCTGCCATGGTTACCAAGGAGGTACTCCAAGGTGAGCGGAGGGGCCAGCACACATACCCACCCAATCCAACCACAGTGTCACAGGCTGGACGTCCTGCTGTCTGAAGCAGCTGCTTTTGCTTCTCCTTGAGCCCCTCCCTCTGGAACCCCCCTCCCCCCATTGCCCAGACTGTATAAAGAACCACCCATATTGTCTGTCATCTGATAGGACAGCTCTGTTGGAGATCTGATCTGATGTCACCTGTCCTGATCTGATATGTGTGAACCCACTCCCACATCCGGACACACACTCACTCTCACTATTGGGTCCCTGATGCATAAGGGCGCAGACAGATCCAGGCACGGCCTGCATGATTTCCCAGTTGTCACAAGGTTGCTGGTTTACGTCCCAGACATCGGCTCATTCCCTATAAAACTAACATGATATTGTTGCCTGAGCGCAGTATGGTAGGGAAGAAAAGATTTCCTGAAAGAAGCCCTTAAACAAGGTATGCCTACTTCAAAATAAAAAAGAAAGCATAAACCACGATAAACTGATCTAGATAAGTAAGATTACAAAGTTAAAAGAAATTCTCACAAGCCCCTGAGCAGCCGTACTGCGGCGCTTCCGCTTACACAATGACATTTCTGCGATGCACAGTAAATATCTTTGTAGTAATTCAACTATAAGGCTAATTATTACTATAATACGCGGAAATATTAAACCTTTACCAGAGCCAAGTTGTCAACGTTCAAACGATGCCGTTGGTGTTAAGGGCGTGAATTTAAGCTGCTAAAATGTCAAAGGAATCCGACAGAAACTAAGGCAATGATCCCAGAATAGGCTGGAAATCCTGAGCATGACATCCTGTGAGGCTTTCGGGTACAAACACAGACCGCCTGCTGCCAGTGATATTTAGCATAGAGACTGATCATGGAGGCCACTTCGTTGTTTATAAGGCACAGGACTGCATTCACTTTTCGGACAAACTTCCCAAAGGTCGGTTTTATTTTTCAGCGGGAGGAAAATTAACCATTTAGACTTAGAGAAGCCTGCCCCGCCTGGCCACTGTAATACTAATATCCACAGCTCCGTTTTCATCGTGTATCAGCGTATTCTAACTCCCATCCGACCCAAACATCACACTAGACTATGTATCCACCCACGATACATTTACTGTGTATGTTTGGGCGTCACTTAATGTTACATTGTTTCCGCTTACTATTGAACTTATACATCATGATCTTATATTACGCCGGTAAGGTGCCACACTTTAAATAAACGCTTCCCGGCGGCTGCCACAGGTCCCCCACGTCCCAGTTCAGAGACCACTACCGACTAGCTGGTTAGCTGGTTAGCCAGCAGGCGCTAACCAGTAAGATTACTCACGATTGCCTTATGCCTCCCTTCTTCCTCCTCTTTTACGTGGTCGTCGCCGTCCAAACGGCACAATTAAAAAAGCATCAATGGAAACCTTCGGTTCTGCTTAAATATGCCTCGGATTTTCGTTGTAATTTACAATATATAGCTACCTCGCTAACTTACTATAACCAGACAGCTTACCGCCGCTTTTCCCCGCCCCCGCGACCCCTGATCATCGTTTTTATCGCTCACCATGTCGACGAACGCTCCACGCAAACTGTTGATCGGCGGCGGACGGCGCCCCCGGAAAACGTGCCGATGCGCAGCCTCCCAGCTGCACGCACACACACACTCACACACCTTCGCCGGTAATAAAGAGGCCCCACAGAGCCAGGAAATTTAATCGCGTCACCAGACACCCAGCCACGCCCCGTCCCTCCACGCGCACGCCGGGGCTCTCGGCCGCCCGAAGTCCGCAGCCGCAGCGCCACCTGCAGTCCGTGCGCCGTCGGCATCGCCGTGCTTTTACCACCCCCGCGCTCGGAGTCGCCGTTCCGCTTTCTTCACTATTTCCCCGTTGTCTCTTCTCAAAAGATGTCAGCGGAACAGAGTCGATCAACATGGCAGCAGTAACTTAAAACCAGCACCGTTATACCTCTATTTACATATATACATCTATGTAATAAACACTGGATAAACAGTTATGGAAGATATAGGCTACGGGTTGATATTTTAGCAGGCAAAATGTTATAACTGTGCGCTATGTATTTATTGAGCAGGTAATTCAAGCAAAAGGAAGGTCTGTATGTGTACATAGACAAAATACAGCTAAGAGGGGGAGCAAATTGAAGGGAACTGCTAACAATATAGGCCTATTATTGGAACGGAGCCGAGGAAGAGTAGATCCGCGCATTGCCTTCTGGACAGTTCGAGTTTACGTAATGCTGTCATACCAGTCCCGAACTGGGCGTAATGGGATGTTGGGCCGAACTTCATGTCTCTGTGAAGAAGAAATATGGTTTATGGTCGAAGCCCATATGGTTCTGTAGGCAAGCTTCACTGGCGCCCCCTGTCTGAGACAAAGTGAAATTGGCTTGCTAAGCTGGCGCCCCCTCAGAAAATGGCGCCCGAGGTGGCTGCCTGTGTCACTTAATGGGTTGACCAGCACAGCTTTGTGTTCTGCACTCCAGAACTTCGAATAAAAGTTCCGGTGATCGATGATGTGGTGACTGGGGAAACTACAGAAGCACTATGCTGTTCATTATCATCTTGGAATGGTGCTTGCAACACAGGGTGCAGCTATAGTCCTGTAAAACGGCCATATACTGTCATGGTTGTTATATGGCCACGCACAGCAAACCTAATGAAGAAAGTAGCAAACTACAAGGCGTTATGGTGTTAGCGAGAAACATTAGTTGCAGGCAAAAACAGCTCTTACATCTAAAAGAATAGGACTTTATGTACATCTACAAATTGCAAGTCTTAGATTCTAAAAATCTAAAAATCATATAAAATCACAGCACCGTTTTAAAATTCATTTACATTTGCTTTTCGTGGCCTGTGTGTAGCCATGTTGTCTTCCGTGCAGTGCTTCTCCGCCTGCGTAATCCGCTGTATTTGTGTCCGTGCCCGACCGCACAGTGGCTACGGCTTATTGCGCCCGACTAATGATGCTTCATAAAGTATTTGCTGCATTTTCTGACCCCACAAGATGGCGCCCTACTTCCAGCTGTCGGCAATCAACAAGTTAGCGAGTTCGGCACGTTCAGCTGCATGAAGCGGATACTAGTCAATTCTCATAAGACCCACGGGAGATGTTTATGATTTAATTTATTAATGCGTTATTATTTCCTATTTAAAATGAATATAATTACATTATGGGCCACTGGCATCACTGGTTTCCTTATTTAATTCATTTTGTTGGTGTAAGTCATCAAGTATTGAAGTCTTGTTCCCCTAACCCCATTTTCCATATTGGATATGTGTATTTTAGTACGCGATTTTAGTGAGCATAAGGTTTTTCAGGAATGCATTAGCTGCATTGTAGCAGGACTGGCTGTACTTTATTAATCTTCAGAGGGAAATCAAACCTCATCATATCTGCCATTCCTGAATGGATCCTCAACAATGTTTAACAGCCGGCAACAGACATGTGAGCTGAAGGCATCTTTCTGCTTCGTCCAAACATAAGTCTGTCTGATGGTGTAAAAGGCGATTCAGCCGGCCGTATGTTTACGCCGGGTTATGTGTCTGGGTGCGCCGGTCTCGGGTGCGGGTGGTTTCTGAATGGGAGTCATGCAGTCATGCAGCAAAGTCTTGCTTTGTGAAAATCGTGACACGTGGGTCCTGTTCAGACTGGGTCACAGGGGTGTTGTATCTATCCCTGCCGGTGAGTTTTGAAATGCAACCACGTGCCTCTTTGCCAACAGGGTTTGTCCTGTGTCTTCTGTCATGGATCCACTTCATGCACGATTCAATGGCCAATTGCTGGTGTTTGGCTCTGTGGGTCAAGTCTCTGTGTCTGTATTCAGAAAGGTGTGGGTTGAAACCATATGGAATGATGTCAGAGTTGGGCCCCCGAAGCAAGCTCCTTAACCCCAGGGGATGGCTGAACCTTCTCTTTCAGTTGTATCTCTCTTTTGATAAAATTGTCTGCTAAACACATTGATGCAAAAGACCTGCTAGAATTAAAACAGAACAAAATAGGAGTAGTAGCTTTCTGTAGAGGTGGTACAGAAGTGGTGAGGATGATGGAAATTCTTATCCAAGTGTTACTAACCAGGGGACGCGTTATGGAACAGAAGCGTTTTGCTTTAGTAAGTATATTTATCAATACAGCTCTACAGCATCTATAAATGCTATATTCTGACACCAGAAGCCGATGTATAGCTTCTCTTACGGTAATATTGGCCGAAATTTCATCGTACAACTGTTTGCATAGGTTAATCTGCTCCAGAGCGTGAGAGCGGTCAGCCCCACGTGGCCGTTAGAGGAAATTCGCAATGACGTTCCGAGAGCTCAGAGGAGAAATGAAAAAGCTGTTACGCCGAGGGAAATATGCCAGCATGCTCTATCATTCTTTCGTTTTTATTTATAGGTTCACTTTTCGGCCACATGTGTTTCTGATGACCATTGTATACAGGCTGTATCTAAAATAGGGAAATGTTGCTGTTATCTTGATGGAAAAAAGGTCCTTTACAGTTTCAGTCCCCCATTTATTAACCTACGACGCTCTCTGTGTTTTGCCCTCCTCGTGCCGATCTCCTCAATAATTAGTAACAAACATCGAAAATACAGTATTTCAAATTTCCCTATAAAAGGTACGAATGTCTGCACGTGTTTGGCGATTTATTTATTTAAAAATTCTAAACACCACAGAGGTTATTAAGTCTATTTATTAAGAGCAGCATATATTACATAAATTACGGTATACCGTGGATATACACCCATCTATATGGAAAACTAGCAGTTGTGATCGTGGCTAAATATTTGAACTTATGACCAAAACACTCTTGTACAGTCCTTTTGTGTACTTTTAAACAGGGGGTGTAACACAAGCAAGTGTGGTATCAGAAATGATCTGGGTAGCAAGTTTTATATTTGCTCAGAAAAAAAATCACAATTAAACATTGGAACATATGCAAATGCACAATAACAATAAAAACTAAGACAAATTTTCTTGTGTTCTCCAAAAAGTTATTGATACCTTGTCGGACAACCTTTCCTAAGAGGCTCCCCAGCCAGTCTGTGTTAAGTTTCTCCACTAACTGAATTAATTATTTAGATAAATATTATTTTATCATTAATATAAATATTGCTTTATAATAAATCTATTATTTTATAATGGTGCCATATATGTACACTGTGAACTCACAACGTTAGAGGTGTGAGGTTTGGTGCACTGCCCTACCTGCCCTTTGATTGGTTTTATATTAGACCTTACTCATAGTAGGCCTACCTTACTTGTAGTAGTCCTACCTTACTCATAGTAGGTCTAGTAGTTGTGATATAGTGGGATAATGTTCTGGGAATGTCAGCAAAATTCAACACTTCGAATGTTTTCATAGCTTATTCATAACATTCAATAAACATTCTTGGAACAAAAAATCTTTAGTTGGGTTGCCAGTCTGGTTACTCGGTGAAGTACGCGTTAAGTGGATGGAAAGTATCAAACCCAGTAACAGCGAAAGTTGCTTGAAGATGAGAAAAAAGCCACAAGTTTTTTTTTGAAGCCAAAGGAGACCTTTTTTCTATGCACAGGGCAGATATGTTTGGCATTTGCTAAAGGTTAATCTGACGGCTGGCTTTGTGCTCGGTGCATGACACCATGTTCAAGAGAAGATGTACTCTTGTGTCATTATGGCAGCCCGATGAACCAAACCGGACTATAAAATGATGTTCCGACTTGTATCTGGATATAGAGGCAGGTGAGCAGTAGGGCTGAAAGGGACCAATCGGCGGAGCCGTAATGCCGCCACAAATGCCTCTTTCGCTAACTACACATTTTAATCAGGTGTTATTCAGAGAAGCCGCTCTGCCCTCCCCAGCATTTATCGCCGCTTGGTTAGAAGAGGCTGATGTCGCCATTTCTTGTCATTTTATCCATATTATGTGCAAGTAATGATGGACTCCATCTATTAAGCTTTATGCATCACATTTGTACATAATGTGAATGCTCTGTAATGTAACGATTTTTCTTGTTTTTCCCCACAACGACCAAACCACTAGATTTCAAACCTGACTGTGGTGCATCCTAATCCCCCCTGATGCTTGGACCCTAAGCAGGGCAGTTTTCAGTCTGGCACCCAATCAGTTAATCAGTCAAGTAGATTGACCTTGATTAATGGTTGACAAAAATCAAGAAAACATAGAGTCGGTTGTAGTGAAACCGGCACTGCACTATACTGTACGAACTTAAAGGGAATGATCACATGGTTTGACATTTCTCTGACTGGCTTAAAATTATTTTCTGAAATACTTGCCAGATTTGCTAGATTTAGGTCACTCCAGGTGATTATGGGATTTTTTGTCTGCGAAAGAGTTCTGGAAGGAGATGACATGGCATTCATCTTATCTTTTAATGTTTGTCTCAGTAAAAAAAACAGTTGCTGTAATCCTTCTTTTACCACCTAAGCCAATTAGATGCTGATTAGAGGGAGAAACCGTCCAATAGGATGCAAGGTAACGTCAAGGCAAGGACCAACCTGCGTTTAGCACATT